TTGGTGTAAATCTATAGGAATCTTGATAGTTTGGCTGGTTCAACAGGGTTTATGCTAATGGAGAAAGGTCACAAATTAATGAAGAGTTTGCAAGAAAAAAATTAAATCGACAAATTAGGATACTTTATTATTATTATTATTATTTTTAATTGTGGAATTGGGAGATGGGAACAGTGCTGGGGAATTGGGGGAAGGGGAACAGACAAGTAGCTGTCCTTTTGTTCTTCAGTCTAGTTGTGGAGGACGTTGCTTCACTGGCCCAAGTTGGCACCCTCATTGTGCTCTTCCCAGGCGAGGCAGATCAGTTGCTGGCTTCTGGACGGCCGCTCACTGTGACTGCTGGCCGCTCACGCTGGCTGCTGGCTACACACGGTAGCCCATAGCAACCCACTGCAGCAGGGGCTGCAGCCTACGCCATCGTCGGCGACTCACGGCAGCCCAGCTCCAGGATGAGCTGTTGTTCAGCATCTTAGCTGTGGAGGACAGTGTCACTGGCCCTCATATGTGGGATCTGAACCGGGGGCCTCTGGCGTCCCAAGCCAGCTCTTAACCAACACGCCACTCAGCCGGCCCCTAGGATACTTTTAAGAGCCAGGAAAAATAATCAAAATCCATTTTGATTTGGTAAAATCTTTGGTCAATATCGAAGAGAAAATTCACAAAAACCTAGATAAAACAAAAATAAATCCGGAAGATTCTAATTCTTCATCAGATGAAACAAATATAGCTAACAAAGAAGCAGAAGATAAAACTACTGACAGTTCCTTGGATAAAATCTTAAATAACACAGTGGGGATTCTTCAAGATCATCTAGAAGCAGGAATAAAAGAAGTGTAATGTTAGAGGTATCTTCTAGTCTACTCGGTAAAACAGAGAATACTACGTACAGAGGAAGTTGAAGGACAGCCCATGCAGAAAATCCATAAGAAAGCAAAAAATACAACAGTCAATGGTAAATCAAGCTATCTTTGAGGTCTAGAGGCTCAAATAAGGTCTTGCCTACAAAGGTAAAAGGGCATCTGATCTTTATCTAGTACAACAAATAGAATATGACTGCAGTAATGGTTGCCGATTCATTATTTGGTTGATAAAATACCTCTGCCTACCACTTATTAGCTTTTGCACCAATGGATGAAACGAGAATGAAAAAGTAAATTGTAAACGAGTGAAGGTCAGATATAAACTTGCCAAATATTCTATTACTGACTGGCTGCCTGCAACTTACACTTTTGGAGACATGCTCGAGTTGGGTTGCTCAAAATAAAACAGCTCATCGCTGTTTCTCTCAGTCTGGAAATCCTGATTAATTATGAGTCATGACATTTTTACAAAAGTCAATGCAGAATATTGTATAAATCTGAATACCATATTCATGTTTATCACATACCCGTTTCAGCTCTGAATTGATGCCTTTATTAATTCCACTTGAGAGAAACTGTATACATAAAGAACAACATTAAAGTACTTATCACATTGCCTTTTAAACTGTTGAAGCCATTTCCTTAATATTCCCTTTGGCCTTTACAATTGAATCTTGTCTTCTTTATATAGTACACCTCATGCCCTGTGGCATAATTGCCAATGCCATTTTCTACGGTTGAATCACACTCGCATTTGCAATGTAGCAATTAATGGCCACTTAAAACTATTTATCTCTAGAAGATAGAATGTCTAGAAGACATTTTCCCCTTGGTTATGATATTGAATGCCAATAACAAATTGCTTTTAAGCAACTGGTGATCACATATACTGGGGGTGCCAAAAAAATGTCTACAAGTGAACACTTTGGTCAATGCTGCTCAAACAGTCGTTTGCCGTAATCAGAAGTGTCTGGACACTGATGGTAACCACTCTGAGCATCTCTTGTAATTGCAGAAGTCAAACATGTCTTGTATTTATCTTTTGTTATCGGTATATATTGAGTATTACAATGTTAATACAGTTTTTTCCTTTCTTAAAATGTGTATACATTTTTTGGCACCCTCTGTAAATATGATTTAGAAAATCAATCATGTTTTCTCACATTCCAGATGGATTCATACTATATCCAGGACCATTATTTCCCTACTTGTGAGCAGTCAGTGGAAATAAAATACGCTTGAAATGTGTTAGTATATGAATTACATTGATTACTGAAAACCAGGAGCAAAGGTTTAATTAGTACTGGAGACCCTGGCACTCTCGTGGGTTGGGTTAAGATAGGTACAAATGTAGCAGCCTTGCAAAAACTATCAGTCACAGACTCTCTCTCTCTCTCTCTCTCTCTCTCTCTCTCTCTCTCTCTCTATATATATATATATATATATATATATATATATATATGAATAACTATTTTCTACATTAAAAACTATTTTCTATAGTTCTGTTTTCTACTACTTCTATGTGATAAATAACTTCCAGGTGAAATCTGTAAAACTGAACCCCCAGATAGATACCGGCCTTAGTGTTTTACAAATGTTTCTATCCAGGTAGTCTGTCTAGCATTGTGAATACACAGGTTGTGTGCGCAGTAACATGGTTTGTTCTGTATGTGTGTGTATTACCATGAGACATGTTCATTTATCACTAATAAAAATAGCTCTTGAAGATTTTTTCCCCCCACAAAATTATGCCTGAACAAATTGTGCCTGGTAAATCAATGAACTGCAAGAAAAAAACCAAAGTAGAGTCAAACTCATTTTTATTAAACTGAGAGATGCGAATAAAAGCTTGTGTGACATATAGGGAAAGAAACAAATGTAAAATTTGTTGTAATCTTAAAATTCAGGAGAACCTCATTGCATGATTGGTGTCACATTATAGAAATTCTGAATTTTAGAGAAAGAAATGTTTCATAGTTGATACAAGGGAAACATACTTGGTCCATATTATAAGTGTATTTTTACAGGATTTTGTTGTAAAGTTCAAGATGTTAGAAGCAACAACATGTAGGATAGACTTTATATACTAGTATTTAGATATTTATATTGATGTTTCAGATATGGGTGAATTTTAAGAAGTGTCTAAAACAGTGTATGCTCAATGGGTAAATCATTTAAAAGAATATGGCAATTTTCTAGTTTGTTTAAATGGTGGGTGATATTGATAGTCACATGTCAATAAAATTTAGTGTTTGAGTAACATTAATATATGCAATTATACAATATAATGTGATTTCATTAAATCTTGTACCATACTCAATTGATATAGTCTCAACTCCTGGTGCTTTTGCCAATTCACAGCTAAAAATTGCTTTTAAATGACAAAGATACACATTTCATATTTTAATATACTACCATATGTCATACATCTGATATAATTTGCACAGAGAAAGATTTTTATGTTTTTCTGTTTTAATACACATCAAATGATTTTAATAACAGGGTCATTATTTTTTAAAAGTTTAGAGTAAACCATTCTCTTCTATTACAATTGAGACATTTTAAGATTTCTTAGAACCATCAGATTTTTTCGATCAGCTTTTAAAAGTTTAAAGTAACCAAATCATTTTCTTCTAATACAATTCAGGTATTTTAAGATTTCTTAGGATTGCCAGACTTTTTCAAGTATAAGAATGTTTAGAGATACACGTGTGAGGTCCATGTGTGTAATCTTTCTTAATGTAATACTCATCATTCCTTAAGCAAAGAAACATTTTCTCTTTTCCTTTCATGATAATCATAAACTGTAATAATTAAATAGTGTACAATTTGTATATTGTACATACACAATATGCATATGTACATTATACATAATGTTTTAATATTTTATATTACCATTTGCTTAAAGGACATTTCATTGAATGGTAAACTGATACAATGACACTTATCTTTTTTTCTTAAAATAGGTTGACCGAATCCTTCTGTAGTGTATTACTGCACAATCACGGGTTTAAACAAAGTTACGAGTCACAACAATTTATGTTTTGTAGCGTGTTGTGAATGTATTCCAAATAAAAAATGGAGGGGAAAGTGCATGACATCATGTTTCATGGTATGGCATATATGTATTAATCATTTTTACATATAACTATGTGGTAAATGATACAATTAAGACCTAGACTACATGATGCATAGTTATTATAAAAAGATATATTATGCCACAGTACTAAAAATAAAATATATTCTTCTCAAATAGTGAAAATAAGATATCCTTCATGTTTTTTATGTCACGTTTTCTCGTTTGACCATGCCTCTTTTTTTCCCATTGTAAATGAAATCATGTCCATTTTATTAAACAAGAATGACAGAGTGTGGGCAATTTCCGGGCCATTAAGGCCTAAAAAGGGTGATAAGACAATTATCTTGTCATCAATTGCAGAAATGCCCTCCTGATGCATTCGATACATGGTAAACATATAAAAATAAACGACAAATATAAATATCTTCTCAGTTATTGAAAAATCAAAAGTCCAACTGTACCTTATTACGAACATGGTCTTGGATATACGTAATTCCTGTATCTGGAATAGGTACAGCAACTAACTGGATATCGCGGGTATCCCCCACCAAATTGTGAGCCATCAGCTGTGACTATGCTGGGCCAGGAAGACACGGAGGGGGTTTTGGGGTCCTCTTCAAGCGGGGATTTCCATCATACCTACGTGCTGCTTTCCCAGACACGCGCGCAGCCGTCTGCAGCCGCTGCTCTCCCCTACTCCTCGGCCTCGTCTCTGTCCTGGAGAAAGGGAGGCGTGGAACTGCGTCCCTTCCCCCGCATCCCTAAAGGATACAGTCCTCCTTCCGACGCACTAAAGGGCTCACGTGTTCTCTCGGATTCGGGAAGCAGGCACTCCCAAGTGAACACAATCTAAGGGGCGGGGACCGTCCCTTTCGACGTTGCGCTCCGGGCTCGTCCGCTCCTGTCGCCCCTGACGCGCGGGCCTAACGTTTCAAACCTTGAACCGCATGAAACGTAGGGAAACTTAAGATGGCAGGGGAGTGCGGGGTTAGGGGTGACCCCAATCCAGTCACCGGGTGATGGGCGATTTGGCCCGGGTGGCAGGCGAGGTCTGAGGCAGGTGGTGGCGGCCGCGGCCACCCCGGCCGTTGCATCCCACCCGCAGCCCCCAGCCCGGTTCTGTCCGCGGGGTCCTCGAGGGGCCCCGGGCGCTCAGATGAGCGGGAAGCGGCCTTCGCTGCCGTCGGACTCCCCGGCGCCGCCGCCGCCGCCTCGAGGGCGGCCGAGCACCGACACGGGTAGCACGACCTCCCCGGGGCTGAGCTGCTGCAGCCGCATGGACTCCTCGTAGGTCGGCAGGTACTTGACCTCCTCGTAGCTGGGCAGCTGCAGGAAGACCGGCGAGACCACCCGCAGCTCGTGCTCGGAGGCGCAGGAGGGCGCGGAGAGCCCGCCGCCGCCGCCGCGGCCCCGACCGCCGCTGCCACTGTCCAGCAGCGAGTCCTGGGAGCCGGCGGCCGCCTCGTCCCGCAGCAGCGCGGGCGAGTCGTCGTCGTCGTCGTCGTCGTCCGGCCCTGCGGCTCCTGGCAGCCCGGCGCCCCCAGGCGGCCCAGGTCGCGCCTGCCCGGGCCTCGCCTGTCCGCGCGGGTACCTGCGGGGGCTGGGGCAGATGATGCGCTGCAGGAAGTAGCCGATGGCGAAGAGCACCAGCAGGATGAGCAGCCCGGAGAGCTTGCGGACGAACCAGCCCACGTTGTCCAGGAAGGCGTGCAGCGGCAGCTTGCAGCAGCGCACCGCCGTGGCGTTGGCCGCGTCGCAGCAGCGCTCCCGCTCCCCGCACGCCAGCTCCGCGCAGTCCCCGCCGCCCCGCGAGGGCGCCACCAGCGCCAGCGCCAGGAGCAGCAGCAGCGGCAGCAGCGGCGGCGGCGCCGGCGCCGCCGACAGGCCCTCGGCCGTGACCCCGGGGCCCCACATGGCCGGCGCGGACCGTCGCTAATGAACGGGGCGGGGGGTTGCAGGATCCGTCTGTCCGCTGGTCCGTCGGCCCCTCCCGGGGCGCTCCGCTCGGGTCCCGCGCGCCGCTCCCCGCGCCTCCGCTACCTGCGGCCAGAGCAGCCCTCACTTGGCCTCGCCTGAGCGGAAGGAGGAGCCGGCGGCGCGCCGAGGCTGCGGGAGGCGGCCGCTCCCCGCAGCCCGAGCAGCCTCCTGAGCGCCTGACCTTAACCCCGCGCGCCCGGCCGCCCGGGCCCGGCGCAGGGCGTCCGGGGCCGCCCGAGATGGCAGAGGCGGCCTGCGCGGGGCTGCCGCGGGCATCTTGGCCCCGGCCGGCTGCGCTCTTCCAAGACCCCCTTGTCACCCTCCGGGGCTCGAAGGGTTAACGCTCCACGCACAGCCCGGGAGCATCCTGATCTTGATTAACTCAGCCGTCGCGCTTTTCCTCTCCAGACGGGCGGGGTCTCTTGCTCGCGTAGGTGTCTCGGTTCTAAGTGATTGGATTTCCCCCAGGAATGTTATTTAAATGGACTTGCGACTGGGATTCGCTTACCATCCTTCTTGTGATCTTTGTGATTAAAAATAGATGATGGCCATTAATGGCCAGCGCGGCCCCACAGCCGTCCCAGAGCTTGGGGGGTGGCGACCGCTGGATGGTTCTGCTTTCAGGCACATCCAGGGGACTGGGAAGCCGGCACCCCCTTGGAGACCTCCTGAACTGATAACGAGGATTCCCCAGAGAGGCTCAGGTCGTAGCACCACAGAAGCGTTCCCAGCCTTCTGCCAAGGTGACCCGAGTAGACCAAGTTGAGGCAAGGGGGCGTCTATCTTCCCAGAGCCTCATCCAACAAACCCCCACTGCCCTCGAGAGTCAGAGCAGGGATTTGGGCTTCTCCTCCAGTGTAAATAACACGTCTGTGAAATGTCAAAAGGGAGTTGTAAGTGGTTGGCAACGTTCCTGAGCATTGATCTGCATGCACAGGGTCTCTTTCAAGGTTATTCTTGTTTGCAAAGTTTGCCTTTAAATGGAGTCTGTGCTGGTGCTTAGCACACGGAGCAGAGTACCCTTCCTTGAAGTCACCACTCCCAGAGAGAGCTCCTGAGAGCCCAAGGGAGGGATGAGTTACCTACTCCCTTACCCGCTGGCACATCTGGGTGATTGGCCTTAAGCAGCCTCTTAGAACGACGCCATGGGGAAGACGGGAAGGAGCTTGCGCTTTTATGAATGCTGGAACCATCACCGTTTTAGAATTAGGATTTTATTCATTCCCTCACCCTTTAAATACTAGGACCCCCCCATACGGAAACCAAACGGGAAATACTACAGTCATTGAGAGGAAAAAGTAAAAGCAAAGGAGACATATAGACACAAGATTCAACTGTAGGTCAGATAAAAGCAAAGATTTCTCGCAGGGAAGACATATTTTATCTCCCAAATAGTTTTATGGCCCAAGGTGGTGATTTGATTTGGACAGGTCCTTGCCTCGCCTAAGTGAAAACATTTACAATGTTTCTGCCGTTGGAAACACTTTACTTTGCCTCAAACTCCTCAACAATCTGCTCTCCTCGTGGGAAGCACCTAAGTGTGAAGCTTAAGGGTTGAGCACAGGTCCTTCTGTCTAAGCTCTCCAAAAGCCACCACATTTCTCTGTGGCATGGCCTGTTTCTATGTAGGGAGGCCTTAAACCTATTGTGTAAAGCCTGGCAACAAGGGGTTTCAAAGTGTAGTAAAATAATGGGATGGAAATGACTCATTTTAAAACAACAATAATTGTATTATTCTTTCATTCACCCATTCTCTTGCCAAATTTACATTGAACATTTACTATATTCAGGGAACTCTGCTAGATGCTCAGCATTATAGAGACAAATGACTTCTCTCTCCCCAACATGGGGTTAACCCAGGTTTGCACTCCCAGCTTCTACTAAAAGGGGAGACTCCACAGAGGGAAACAAATGCACTTTCCTCTCTGGTCTTGACTTGTTCTTGCTTTCCCAAAGGAAAAATAAAATTAATGAGTTTCAAACAGCCTCAAGGATGAAGGCAGTTCATAGCCTGAGATGGGCATTAAGTATAATGTCGGAAAATATGAAGACCTCTTTGGGTTTTTATTATCTGACCCTTCAGGATTTCTGTGAGTAGTAGTAGGAGCAATAGCAAAAGTAAAGGGGGAGTTGTACGGTTGATGATACTTAGGAGAAAATGCCCTAATTATTGTTATTTTGAAATTTCTAAAACAGCATTTAAATTGTTTAATTTCTGTCTACTCTTAAGGATTAGAATTTTCTTTTGTCAAATATTAGGACACAAAAGAACAACATAGTTCTTATAAAATAAACCATTGGCAGAGTTACTTATAAAAACAAAGACAAGGGTGAGGTCTTCAGAATAAGTATGGAATGGATTTTTATTTGAATTTTTTCCCCTTTCTGAACTGATAGCCCCAAAGCATCACCCATTAAAGATCCTCTACAGAAACTGGTGCCTCTTTATTTCTTTTCTGATCCCTCAGCCTCACTTAATTCATTTTTATTTGCAATGTAATTTATTGTGTACAACCTTTGAAGGAAAGAAAAGAAACCTTGTAGCTTTAAAAGCCACAGAAAAGACATATCTTCATTACTCAGCATCCTTATTCTTTGTATTATTGTTTAACATACAAATGAATGGAGTAGACTTGGCTCCCAGAAAGTCATCAATTCAAGCCCCTTAGTGAGGAAGATGGAATTTAATTATATATTCCATAGAATAATTGAAAGATAAGGATGATCACAATGTAAAAATAAAAAAGAAACTTTATTTGGTTGAAAATCGGCACCAGGTTGTGCATAAGTAAGTGTGTGCAAGAGAAAAAAAACAGATGGAAGGTAGATGGGGGCTGACCTTTATCCAAAAAGTATGGTCTCTTGGAGGATAGCTTGATAAAAATTAAGAAAAATACAGCTTCCTGTTGCTGTAGTGCTTGAATAATATTTCTTGAAAATGTTATCTTCCTCACTTCTTTTGCACTCAGATGAAGGAGTGAATGCCAAAGTAGCCACACTTTTCAACTTTTTAGAACAGAAGAAAGTAAACAGAATGCAACAATACTGGCTGCTGTTTTACCGGTGCTTCTGGGAGCTGTCCTAACAGCTTGAGAAAGACTGGGTGGCCCCATCATGCAACTTTCTGCTCTATAACATGATTCAGAGGGAGTTTCTCTCTGAGGTCTCTGACTGTGAGCTTATGGCTTCAAGCCTGGGAAGCAATAGCTCTGCCTTTTTCATGTGCCTTCTTCAAAATGTCGAAACATGAGCAGTTGGACCTTGTAAACAAACCACCCAGTCTGTACGAACCCCTTATTCGGGGTGTGCAGCAGAGTCCCTTACTACTAACATGGTATTAAAATTGATTTATTAACCTCCTCGTTTTATGGTTTCCCTTTATTTGCAACATGTCCTCCCTGAGCAACAGTAAATTAAGGGTTTTATTGTAAATGACATATATTTGCATAAATGTACCCACCTAGAAATGATTTGTGATCTGAAATAATCTGCTTGGAAGTTCTTTTCAGATCGTATTTCCTTCATCACTCATTTAATAAATGTTTAATGAGGGCTCACTGAGCATTCTGTTATCTTCTGGGGATACTATGAAATCAAACTGTGCCCTGTCCTCAGGGAGCTTATTGGGGGAGGGGAGAGAGAACAACAGACACTCAGTCAAATTAGTGGATCACTAATGCTAAACAATGAGCAATGATCACAAAGGAGAAGTGAGGGTGCTCTGAGTTCTTACACTGGACATGATCTGGACTGGGGTGGGGTGGGGTGGGTGTCAGCAGGAAATACCTCCCTGAGCAAGAGCTCCTTAAGAGGGGACAAGGCAAAGAGGAAGCGTGTGTTCCAGGCAGAGGAAAGTTCATGGGGACAGATTCCTGAGGTGAAAGGAGCCCCTTCACTTGTCATCTCGTATGTTTGGGGCAATTTCTACCTCAACAGTTGAGACTCTCTCCTAGGTTAGCTTTAAGAAGACTCAAGCCACCCCTGCTGTTGTTCAATTTTAAACCAAACCTGGTTCTCTGCAGAGGACGGTCACAGGTTGTATGATTACAGTTACCCCTGCGGTCATGCTCCATTTCCTCTTGGAGACCAGGCAAGCTCCAGAAATGCTTCTTATTCTTTCCACCCCCACACCCCTGACTTGGAGTGGAACTTGGATTTCCTTCCAACATTAGGAGTTGGCAGCTTGCTGACAAAAGCCTTCTCCAACAGCTTGAGCTAGAGAAAAGTCAAAGTGCGATGGTTTGTGTCTTTTGTTCAAATTAGGCACAAAAGGAAATAGAAATCTTCCTCCCACGCTTGACGTTAGAAAAAAAGGTTGAGTATTTTCTGGCTCTTGGGAAAACAATATCTACATTTGTATTTGTCCTTTCAACTTTTCAAAGCACTTCCTCATGCACTGTTTTGTTTGCTCCTTACTACATTCCTGTGAGATGAATTGAAGTTATTATTATTACTTCCTCCAGGTGAAGAGAGGTTGAAACACCCAAATAACAGAGCAAATTGGTGGCAGTTCTGAAAGTGTAATCCAAGGCTTGTGGATCCCAGTCTAGTTTAAAAAGGTGGGCAAGCATCTCACTTGCTCACTGGCTGGGGCTGGGTCCAAGGGACCCGCCCATGTGGGGGAGGCTCTTGTCTTCCCTCTGATGCTGGTGCTTTAAGGGGCCAACTCTGAGCATGGTCTATCCTAGATCATGAATGTGAGATTTTTCTGAGGAAATTAAGCTTATATTTCTGTCATTTTTGTGGCCATTTTTGGTAACCCATTAATGATATTTTAGGTAACGATGTGACAGGACAGCTATTTTTGTATGAATTTCTGAAAAAAAAATTCCCCTCTTTCATTTTATTACATTCTTTTTTTTTTTTGTAAAGATTTTTATTGGGGAATTGGGGGAGGGGAACAGCGCTGGGTAATCGGGGAAAGGGGAACAGACAAGTTGTCGTTTTGTTCTTCAGTCTAGTTGTGGAGGACGTTGCTTCACTGGCCCAAGTTGGCACCATCATTGCACTCTTCCGGGTGAGACAGATCAGTTGCCGG